TTTTTGTCTATATATTTTTTTATATATGCATATATTATGTATACATTAATTTCATATAAAAATCCAATGGTAAAATATGTATATATATATATATTTATATTCAAAAATTTAAAAAAAAATAAAGATAAAAATTTTAAATTAAAAATATATATTTTTTCCATCTTAATTAAGTGTGCAAATTTTCGACTCAACACGATAACACAACTCGAACTCGATACGAAAATAAATAGGTCAACTCGCAATTCGACACGACACAATTAATTAAATGAGTTAAGTTAGGTTTGACTAATATTCGACACAAACCCGTAATGACTTAACACAAATCTGACACGACACAATTCAATTGTTACCCTTAATCTTATCCAGTACAAAAAAAATAGTCATTTTTATTTTTCATCCATCCAACAAAACACAAAGGAAATGAAGTATATCTCTCCTACTTTTCATCCTTGAAGGATAAAAAGTATATTTCTTCTACTTTTCATCATTCCTACTTTTCATCTTTCCTACCAAAGGGAGCATATAGCTTGCAACCTTATTTATAGTCATAATCTTTATAGACTAAGAAATTCTAATTATAATAGAATAAAAGAACTATTCCTAATAGGCTAAAGAATACAATTCTTAATAGAATCAAGAATACTATTCCTAATAGAATAACAATACTAATCTTGAAAGTAAAATTAATCAAAAAAGAAATTAATCCTAAAAATTAACGTAAAATAATAACAAATGAATAAAAAAATTGAATAATTACTAATTCTTATCTTACATCAACTAATGAGTCTCTTCCTGAAGTAAAAAGAGTTTTAAAGTTAAGAACAAATTTTTTTAACCGTAAAAAAAACAGAAGATTAGGTCATCAAAAGTGTACTATTTATAAAATAAAAATAAAAAAAATACTTTCAAAAGTAAATCAAATTGTATTTATTTTCTTCATCCTCAATTCTCTAATATCCCAAATCAAAACGATCTGAATTCAAATGACAATTTCGGCCCTCCAATTAGAAGTAATTGCAATCTCTGCTCTGTTATGGTTCTCTTGACTCATATAAAATGCTCATTCCAATTACCTTCTTCAATCCTTAATTTAATCTATCTATTTGCTTTGGATGAAGAATTTTTTGTATCTAACCGAGGTAGTTCAAGGGAAAAAAACTCAGATATCCTGAGTTTGAACCTTGATAATTTCCTGAGGTCTAATTATGAGAGATTTATCTCTCATGAATATCCTAATCTCGGTATTGATGACTACTCGACCAAAAAATAGATTAATTACCTTCAAAGAAAAGACCCAAATGGAATCGAGAATGGGTACAGGCCGCTTGGGGCAGAGATGAAGCAGTTGGATATTCAAGCTCAGTTAACTTCAGATTCAGACAATGATCAGATTGGAATTATTGGAGAATGTGAAAATGCAGGAAGCTTTTGAGTTACAACAGTAGCCTTTTAAGAACATAACTCTTCTTATTAGAAGATGGAAATGGTACAGCATTCTGATTTGTTGAAGCAAAAATAGACCTATGCTGAGAACCAAGGTAGTTAATAATGTGAAACATCAAAAATCAATGCAAGCTAAATAAGGTTCAACCTTTATATATGATTACTTCTCAAACGTTGTACAAAGCCTTAATTCCATCAATATCATCCCCATGCAAACCTTTGGTCACTCCAGGAGGAATGCCTGAGAACATTATTGCATCCTGGACTGAGCTATGCCCAAGTCCAAGAAGGTGCCCAATTTCATGCAATGCAACCGTCTCCAAATCAAAAGCATTAGCCACTGGCCCAACGGACCACACTTCATCTGCATCATAGTGAAACCTTCCATCAGTTGGTGGCCAGGAATGGGCCAAGACCCCGCCACGCCCATCGAACGGATTCCCATCTCCATGATCACCCCTATGGAAACCAATCTTAATATCAGCATTGGCAAAATCACCCGTCCTCGTGAATGTGAAATGTGATACAGAAGCCCATTTTTCGAATGCCCGGGCCACGGCACCCATGGCATCAGGATGGGTATTAGATAAAAATCCATATGTGAGGTGGAAAGCTGCCCATCTTGGGTTATTATCAAAGAAAGTATAGTGAGAGACTGTGTGGAAGGAGGTGTTGTCATTGTCATGGTGGTGCCTTTTCTTGCCTGCTCGCATTGAACTAGTACCATTGATGATATCAGCCACCCCACATCGAGGCACCACCATCTTTGACACTGTCGGACCATCCAAGTTTCCGGTGGCGTTAAGATGATAATTCAGTTGGTAAGTTTTGATGGCAGACTGGAGGAAATTGTCGAAATCGTCATCGTGGGCATGGGTCGTTTGATTTTCAGAGTGAGGATAATTCAAGTAACCAAATTTGTTAAGGTACTTTTTGAGCTCATTGAGCCCTTTAACCTTTTCACCCTTGTGACACCCTTGCAAATGCTTGATAAATTCGAAAGGTGAGGGTTTTTTATCACCCTTTTTTGGTTCTTCAACCTTTGCATAGGCAAGGAGAGGAAGGAGTAGGACGAGGAGGGAGATGAATGAAAAGAGCTTAGGAATTATAGTTGCCATGGTTGAGCTTTGTGAGTGCTTGTTGGCTTATATGTTTACTCATATGATATGTCCTAGTTCTATTTATAGGTAAAAAAAGGTTCAAACTATGATGTTTATGTTACTTTGCCCCACAACTTTTGATTTTCTCACATTAGTCCCTCAACTACCTACACTGTTTTACGCTATGCAAAACACAAACATTCATCATCTTTTAGACGACAAATGTTAAAAAGTGAAACAAAATCACTCAATTTGGGGTACAAAGTGAAATAACTTTTTGTCAAATTTTTAAAGGATGTTAACCATTGGGACACAGTGAAACTAATAACAATAGTTAAAAGTGAAATATGAGAAACAAAGATGGTTAAGGGTATAAAATGACACAAAGTTTATAGGTTGAGGGGACAATATAATTAATCCAAAAATTATATTGACTCTGAAAGTTTGGCTGTTTCCGAGTTTTTTTCTTGGTCCACAGACAATTAATTTATAATTGACGATTTTCTTTAAGTTTGAAATTTTGAATAGATGTTAATAAATGACCTTTTCTCCGATGGTACTTTGAACCTTGAAAAAGTTTTTCTCAACTTAGAAAGACTTCTCAGATCAGGCAATATTAGTTTTTTTTTTTTTTTCCTATAAGGTTATCAGACTTGTCAGGCTTGTGTGAACTATTCACTCGAATTTAGTGGTCGACCACCGTAGCTAAAGAAGATTGTACTGAATTAGAGCATGTCCATAAAAGGACAAGGATAGCTAGTCTTTAAAGGTGTGAGAAAAGATTGAACCTGAGAGTTCTGACCAGACTCAACCACTAAATCATCTTAAGAGTTAGCCAATATTAATTTATATTAGGGGTAACCCGTGCCTCAAAATACGGTACACTCTAAATGATTTTGAGAAGAATATTAGCAGTCGTTTAATAAATCTATTTAAAACCGTTAAATAAATTTATTAAAACATCCATAATCGAAGATGAGAAATCAAAGCAGAAGAAAAAGTATGTTACACACGTAGCCCATAATTGGTTTATTCATTTTACACGCATAATCGAAACTGGTCAATACACGTTATCAGTTGCTTCTACTAGGCTTCTATTCAATTTTTTTTCGTCTAGATATGATCCTAAAAAGTGATTTCTCAGTATCGTATCTTTCGATAAAAATTTTAATACTTGTAAAATCTTTCATAATTAATAGATATAAATCAATCAAACACAAGATTTATGATTGTCGATCAACTTCGACATACTTATACTTATCATAATTTTTAATGGTTGACAATCATCCGTACGATTCACTAATCTGACACGAAACAAACACAAAATTTTAGTCTTAATAGACAAATCATAATTTGGTGACCGTCAAATTCACTTAATAAATCGATTAATACGAAATAAACTAAGCACAATATGAATCGGACTAAGTACAACCCATTGACGATACCGACCATATTATAAATGGATTAGATATAAATTAAGTACGACTCAAGTTACAAAATTTAAAAATATTATTTCATTGAGAACCTCATCGTTAACACAAACCCTCTTTCCGCGAAACACGCAAATGACATTTTCATGTGTTAACTGTATAGTACTAAAGTGGTGTTTGATAAAATTGAAAGTTGAATATTGAAAACTGAATGCTAAATTTCTAATTCGTGGACTGTTTGCCCACTGAAATTTACATACTGCATTAAATCACGTTGTTTGATAATTACAAAGCTAATATCTGAAAAATAAGTTAACTTAATTATAAAAGGTTAAACCGTTGAACACTTTCTGCTTTGAGAATTAAGTACTTAACTTTTTAAGAAAATCGCCAATTATGCATTGATTGATTCTGTGGACCAAGTAAAAGCCGCATTTCCATGGAAAGAACTGGACGAAAAAAAAAACTTGGAAACTGCCTAACTTTCAGCGTCAATATAGTCTTTGGGTTAATTACATTTTGTTCCCTCAAACTATGAGCTTTGTGTCACTTTATCCTCTCAAACATCATTTTTCTCATATTTTGCATTCAACTACTTTTATGAGTTTCATATTGCCCCAAAGATTACCATCCGTTAGAAATTTGTTTCACTTTATCTATTGAACCGAGTGATTTTGTTTCATTTTTCTCCAAGATGTTGACATTTATAGTCCAAAAAATAATGGAAATTTGCGTTTTGGACAGCATAAAACCAATGTAGGTAACTGAGGGAATAATATGAGAAATCAATAGTTGAAAGGACAACGTAACGTAAACATCATGAACTCACAAGCCCGGTCATGGCACCTATAATTTCTAAGCTCTTTCCATTCATCTTCCTCCTCTTTCTACTCTCTCTTGTAATGTAACATGCAAAAGTAGAAAAGCCAAAAAAAGGGTCAAAAAACCCTCTCCTTTCGACTTTATCAAGCATTTGCAAGGTGTCATAAGAGTCGCCCGGTCATGGCACCTATAATTTCTAAGCTTTTTCCATTAATCTTCCTCCTCTTTCTACTCTCTCTTGTAATGTAGCATGCAAAAGTAGAAAAGCCAAAAAAAGGGTCAAAAAACCCTCTCCTTTCGACTTTATCAAGCATTTGCAAGGTGTCATAAGAGTCGCCCGGTCATGGCACCTATAATTTCTAAGCTCTTTCCATTCATCTTCCTCCTCTTTCTACTCTCTCTTGTAATGTAACATGCAAAAGTAGAAGAGCCAAAAAAAAGGTCAAAAAACCCTCTCCTTTCGACTTTATCAAGCATTTGCAAGGTGTCATAAGAGTCGCCCGGTCAAGTGATAATATAAACGAATTATAAATTCAAACATTTTGAATTTAAATCTTAGTAACTCTTGGAATCAGATCATGAAATATTTATTTCCCATAAATACTGATAATGTACAAAATAATCTCATACAAGATCAATAATCGAGTGTGTGATAAAGTGTAATGAATAGACAATTAATAGAGCAATCAATGGTAATAATATAAATATCGAGTTAACACACAGATGTATAGTGATTTAGTTAGAATGACCTACACCACTTCGAGAAATGACAACAGTGACCGAGAGACCTTTATTGATAAAGTAAGGTAAACAAGAGAGAGAATACTGATTAGTTCCGAGAGAGTTACAATAGTTATGAAAGAGAAAAGTTATGTATAAGGTGTGTAGAGATAGATTAAGAGATGCCCTCTCATATAGAGAGAACTTACAATTTATAGGCATAAAGCCTTGGTTAAGGCGGTCATGTGAGAACAAATTTACTAATTCTCCAGGTAGCTACAAAAAAGTAAGTGTCATAAAATGTTGTCTTAATTTTCGAGAGTGAGTATCCCAATAATTGCTCTTCGCGTGCTCTAATTTTTCTTAGACTCTTCAAATCTTGGGTTGAGTCAAATTTACGAACTGGTCTTGACCTGTCTTTTAACTGACTTTGACTTACTTGATTTATTAGGTCTGACTCGGTTAGATTTGGACTCATCAAATACTACAGTCTCGACATTAATGACCTACATTTGATTGGATCCAAGAAAAAATTAGTTGAATTGTGCATAAATTAATTCGAACACGCCTTGCCATTAAAAAAAAAAGTGGACAATGAGCATAAAAAGTACCTCAATGAATTTGGTTACCAACTCCATGCGAGCAGGCAAGAAAAGACACCACCATGGCAATAACTACTTCCATACAGTATCTCTTTACACTTTCTTAGATGGCAACCCAAGATGGCCAGCCCATAAAACCCATCTCACCTATGGTTTGTTATCTAATACCCTTCCTGATGCCATGGGCAATTCAAAAATGGGCATCTGTATCACATTTCATATTCACGAGGAATGATGATTTTCCAATGCTGATATTAAGATTGGTTTCCATGGCGGTGATCATGGAGATGAGAGCCCATTCGATGGGCGTGGCAGGTGTTGTCCGTATTAGGGTGAGTTTTGTTAAGCGTCTGTACGGTTAGGGAGAAAAAACCAGAACATGAAAATGGTAGAAATTAAAGTGAAAGGAAAAAATATTATAAAAATTATATTTTCATATATATATTTGATTAACATGAAAAATTTGCGTAAAAATTTTTAAAAAAAAAAAATCATTCTATTATTTAAAAGAAAAGAAGGTTACAAGAATTTTTTATTATTATTTAACTTACACTTAATTATATTAAATCAGTCTAAAGAAAAAAAATATATGTATTATAATTAAAAAAAAAAAAATTTTAAAAAGCTCATAACCTAATTCTTGGGCAAGCACCAATGCGAAGGTGTTTGGATTAAATTATATGGTTAACCAAATTCTTACAAAGATTTTTTAAAATTAATAACTAATAAAATATTTTAAGAAAAATAAGGATAAAATATGAAATTATTTATGAATCACAACTTTCTTGTATTTTTTTGTTATTTTTTACAAGAAACATGTAAGACAACTATTTTTATATCACACCTCATCAACATTTTAGCAGGAAAATGGTAAAAAATATAAGAAGAAAAAGAAATTATGATAAAGGATGAACCTTCACTACTTACTGGTAGATCCAAGTGAAGACCATGTACTACAATAGGACATTATATTTTCCAATGAGAGATTAATTCTTGCAAGACGGCTTACCTCCAAACACATATAATCTCTCTTATTATAAACTTGCGAGACTACCACTGCATAATATATATTTACATCACTTACATACTTTACCCTTACTAACTTTAGCATCGGAATACCTCTACGGGCAAACTGGTGGCCCTTTGATTAGTTTTCTAATCCTGCAAACCATGGAAAAAGCCATCAACAGTTTATAGGTAACCATCCAACCCACTTTTCATCAACAATAATACTGAAGCTTATATACGCTTTCTTTCACAGAAATTAGCCATCATATCATGTCTTACTCTTGTGGAATCTGCACAAAATTATGAACATTACCAAGCTTAATGCACTTAACAAGGCTAGAAGCCAGTAATACTTATCTAAGCTGGCTTCTGTCATATCATCAGAGAACCAGCTCTGTCTTCCTCCTCCTCTTGAACTCGTCGTAAATTCGATGACAGAGATAAGAAATGCA